GAGGAAGGAATCGGCCTTCAAGAGCATGCTGAAACAGGCCACCCCTGCCATCGAGCTCGATGCTGTGTGGGAGGATGTAAGGAGGAGAATTCCTTAGGGGAAAAAAACTTCCCAAAAAAAAAATCCCAAATAATTCCCTAAAAATGTCATCCCTAAAAAAAAAAAAACAAGCGCGCGTTTCCTGGTTGTGCTGCTGGGACATCAGATCCCATCCAATCCTAAAATTTGGAATTTCCTCTGGAAAATTTGGAGGTGGATGAGAAAAGCTTCATGCTGAGATTTTAGAGATGGAAAAAATCCTAAAAGAAATGGGAAAAAACAACAAAAAAAAGCCCAAAAAATCCCAAAAATGTCATCCCTAAAAAACCCCATATGTGCATCCAGTTCTGCTGCTGGGACATCAAATCCCATCCAATCCTAAAATTTGGGATTTCCTCTGGAAAATTTGGAGTTGGATGGGAAAAACTTCATGCTGAGATTTTAGAAATGAAAAAAATCCTAAAAGAAATGGGAAAAAACCCCAAAACCAACTCCCCCCAAAAATCCCACAGCCTCTCAAAAATTAATGTAAATTATTTAAAAATACAAATTTTATTCTTGATAAAACAACCTGGAAAATCTTCCCAAGGATCATTTCTATAAAAATCTGGGAGTTTTTAAGTTTAAATGGAATTTGTAGGGAAAACTGGGATTTCCCATATTTCCATGGGTTTGAGCTTCCCTGAACTCTGGGAATTTGGGATTTCCTTGGAAATTTGGGATTAAAAAAGTTGAGCCTTGTACCAGTTCAGGGGCTTTTTCAACTGATGAAAATTAATTTTTTTAAATTTTTTTTTCTATATTTTTTCATTTTTCCTGTTACTTTTCCTATTCTTATTATCTTTTATTTTTTTATTATTTATTTTTCTTATTATTTCTATTATTTCTTTATATTTCTTTTATTTTTTACTGGTTTTATTTTTCCTTATTTCTTCAGGATTTTCATTTTCTTGTTTTTCTTATTTAGTATTTTATTTTTCTTATTTTTTTCTAATTTCTTATTTTTCTTATTTTTTTCTTATTTTTTTCTTTTCTTATTTTTATTATTTTTCTTTTTCTCTTTTTTTCTTTTCTTTCTTATTTTTCTTACTACTCTTCTTACACCTTATTATTTTTATTATTCCTTTTTCCCTTTATTATT